GGGGGTTGTGGGTTGTGGGGGGGAGCTGGCTCAGTGGAGTAAGTGCTTCCCCGGCAAGCGCAAGGGCTTGAGTTCAATCCCGGTTCCAAAAAAAGAAAAAAAAAAGAATACACACAGGGATGTAAAACACAACCTCAGCACCGTTTTCAAATAATTTATTAGGAATTTAAAACTGAAAATAAAGGCTGGAAAAAGAAGTTACAGATGTGGAGAGAAGAGACACCGGAGGATGGTAACTTGCTGGCTTCAAAACACCATGTAACATCTTAAATTAAAAAAAAAAAAGTCCCCAAACAAATCAGGAAACAGAATTCCAGGGCCCTGAATTGGTGGCTGGGCCCAGCGGGTGGGAGCGTCCAGGGATGGAGGAAGAGGGAAGCCAAGTCTCTAGGGACTCGGCTCAAATGTGTAGAAAATTAAAAATAAAAACCAATAAAATGCAGCTTCTCTTTTATTAGGAAACATTAAAAAAAAAAAAAAGAGAGAGAGAGAAAACCAACACAAACAGCCGTGCATCTCGGTAACAAAGATTATTGCTTTGTGTTCTCAGGGCTAATAGGTTAAGCACCTCACACAGACAATTAACTCTCCAAAGGGTGGTTTGAAGGGTTGTGGAGAAGGGAGTGTAGGCCCCCAGACTCTGACCTGGGGGAGGACACAGAATGGGGGTGTCAGTGAGTGGGCCTCAGCCCTGCCCACGCCAGCCTGGTCACGCTCCATATTCAGACCCTGAGCCTCTCTTTTTTCCTTTGAAGGGGGCTCTGGGGTAAGGGGCTGCCAAGGGGCTCTGGCCACAGGGCCGTCTTGGTGGGAAACTTCAGTGAGAGAATGTGGGGGTTCCCTGAGAAGCCCTTTGCTTTCCCCTGGCATCTGCTCCTTACCAAAGTGCCCCCCATGCCCACCCATGGGGGTTGGGGGGCTCAGAGCAGAAAACCATGAAGGTCCAACCTAGGCAGGGGGCAGGGGAGACCTTTGGAGAGCTAATTCTTTTCCAGCAGTGGCTCCGGGCAACCCCCTTCTCCTCCCCGCCCCTCACTCCCTCATTGGGTTTGGGGGAGAGCAGGCCTGAGGCCTTGACCCAGAGGGCCTGAGAGAGTGGGCCTGCTGTGGCCAGAGCCAGGCCTGCAAGCTTACAGTAACGGTGTCTGAGGAGGAGACAGAAACAGGGGATGAGGAGACCTTTGCCCTGCGGGGCTGAGGCGAGGCCCCAACCCCCAAGGGATCTTAGAAAGGGGTGGGGGCTTCACCTCACAGTATTTACATATGATACAGGACGGGATGGTTCCAGGGGCTCGGCCTGGCCTACCCGCAGCCCTGCCCTCCTCTCCAGGGCTGGAGGGAGGCAGCCAGGGGCCCACACCCACATAGACACTTTGTTCTCAGCTGGTGGGGGGCACCTGGCCCCTTGCCCCCTGCGGCCTGGGGCTTCACATTCACAAACCTAGAAATAGTTTAAAAACGGTTTCTTTAAAAAAAAAAAAAAAAAAAAAAAAAAGAGTCAAGGGTGGAATCTCAGAATAAAAAACAAGGGTTGGGGCTGCGGCCTGTAGCAGGCTCCCTCCGCCCTCACTCTAGCTATGCACAATACAAAAGCTTTCTGGGGAGGGGGGATCCTATAGGGGCGGCAGCAGGGAGGGAGGGGTGCAGACCGAGATATCAGGGAAGTAGGGGTCAACGGCTAATCCAAAATAAATAAAAGCGGGTAGGGAGGGGGCTGGGGGAGTGGGGACAATGGCAGAAAAAGGGGCAGTTAGTATGGGAGCCAGAGTAGGGGGGCGGGGCAGGGGCAGGGGCTGGGCCCAGGGAGTGGGGACAGGCAGTAGCATCCGAGTTGCTGCGGGAGAGGAGGCAGAGCTGCGGCTGAGGTGTCCCGCCCCCTCGCTGGCACACACTCGAGGTCCTCAGTCAGCTGCAGGCTGGGGCGCTGGGAAGACAGCGGCAGGTTATGGGGGCTGCTGGCCTCACCCCTAGAGCACACACCCCCCATCCCCTCCTGTAAGAGCCTGCTTTAGCCTTTGCAGTCTGTGTCCTGTTTAGAGGATGCTTTCCCCACACCGTCTGTCCACCTACCCACCACCTACCCACCCACTTGTTGAGACAGGGTCTTGCTAAAATTGCCCAGACTGGCCTCAGATTTACAGTCCTCCTGCCTCAGTCTCCTACGGAGGAGGGATTACAGGTCTGCTATGTCCTAGACTTTGAATGGGTGGATGTTTTTCAAATGTCAGCTTCTCGGGGACACATTCTCTGACCCTCTCCTCAAAAACAGCCCCCTGTACATATGGAAGGATTTCATCAGCATGCTTACTTTGTCGGGAGAACAAGAGCTGCCTTTGTTCATGAACCTCTCTCAGAAGAAGGCTTGATAAATATTTGGATGAATGAGGAAAGAAACAAAACCTCCTAACTCACATCGGGCCTGTCATCTACACAGGTGCTCTGATAACTATGCACCAGGACCTGGGTGTCAAGAATGCCTGTTTTGGGCCAGCGAGATAGCTCAGTAGAATAAGTGCTTGCCCGGCAAGCGCAGGGTCTTGAGTTCAATCCCCAGTGAATGTCTGATTTATTTTATCAGTGTTGGGAGCAGGAAGTGAACTCAGGACCTTGCATTTGCCAGGCAGGCGCTATGCTGTTGAGCTGTATCCCCAGCAGACTGTCCAGTTTTAACAGGAGTATAATATCCTACCATATACATTTACAGTGGCTTATGTAACCACTTTCTTTTTGATAGGCATTTCAGCTAGTTGGAGCTTTTTAAAATAAATGCCTAGAAATGGAATTACTAAGTCCAAGAATATGGACATTTAAAATTAGGATAAATGGCGGCTGGGGAGATGCCTCAGTAGAATAAACGTTTCCCTGGCAAGCGCAAGGGATTGAGTTCAATACCTGGTTCCGCAAAAAAAAAAAAAAAAAAAAAAAAAAAAAACAGGATAAATGCTCCCAGGTTGCACTTCAGAAAGTGTGGGCTAGGGGCTGGAGAGATGGCTCAGTGGTCTAAAGCACCTACTTGAAACAAGCTTGGCAAAGCACAGGGACCGCGGTTCGATCCCCAGCACCACATGCCAGCCAGACCCGCCCCCTGGTGGGCTGAGCTGGCCACACACACACACAATAAATAAATGTAATAAATAAAAATAAATAAATATAAAAAAAATAAATAAATAAAATAAAAAAAAAAAAGAAAGTGTGGGCTAGTTTCCCTTATACCTTTACCTATGCTGGGTGTTATCAACTGCCAAAACAAATAATAAAATAAATAAAATAAAATCCTTGTCAGACTGATAGATAACATGTGATCCCTGACTGTTGCTTTAATATTTTAAAATGTAGCAGGTTAGGGCTGGCCAGATAGCTCAGTGGATTAAAGCACCTCCGTAGGAAGACTCAGGAACCAGAGTTCAATCCCCGGTGTGCTATGCTGAGCCAGTCTTGCCCTTCAGGCAAACTAAGACAGCAATCGAGACTGGGCGTGGTGATTCATACTTGCAATCCCAGAGCTTGGGAGGCTGAACACAGAAGAATTACTACAAGCCCAACCCTGTTCTAAAAAATACATTTAAAAAAAAGGTGGTGTCCAGTGAAACTGCTCAGTAGAATAAGTGCTTCCCTGACAAGCACAAGGGCCTGAGTTCAATCCCCGGTTCTGCCTAAATAAATAAATAAATAAATAAGTGACTGAACATGTAGCAGGTTAGCCTGACATGGTGGTACATGCTTATCATCCCAGCTTTCAGGAGGCTGAGCAGGAGGATCACAAGTTTGAGCCCAGCCTGGGGCTCAAACATATTAAGTTCGAGGTCAGTCTAGGACATATAGTGAGATACTGCCTCAAAAAATGAACAAAAAAGGAGCAGGTTGAGCAGGTTTTGGTACGTTTATTTGACCACTGCTGGTATAAAGGTCCACCTCCCCCAATGGGCTGTGGGTTCTGTGAGTGCAGGGAGGAAGCCTGGGTTCCAGATGGGATCTCCCAGGATCAACCTCCCTGGTGCCACTGCCACCCCCTCTGTTCCCTCTTCTCACCTCCTGCCACCTGTCCCCTGCTTCAGTGGTACCCATTGGTGAAGGCTGTGGCAATCAAGGGACCCTGGAAAGAAAAGAATTAGACTAGAATCTTAAGGAAAAGTACAGAAAGGTACAGGGCTTCCTCTTCCTCTTGCAGGAGATTTAAGAAGCACAGAGCCCTGCCTATCCTGCCCATGTAATCCACTGAAGACTGATGACAAGAATGCAAGGGAAGGCCTGGTTATAACTAGGCCACCCTCATGTGGGACTCTAACTCCACGCAGGTAGAGATGGTGTGTGTGTCCCATCTGTGCCACATCCCAGTGCCCTGCTGATGCCAGCATACAGAAGCTGATGATTAAATGCTCACGACTGGAGTGCCAACCCTTCTTGTAACCTCAGTGACTTTTTCCCTCATCCCTCATCCCGTTCCCATTCCCCAACCTTTTACCAAGAAGACAGAAAACATTTCTCCTTCCTCCAACTTTAGGGTCCCCCAGGGTAGGGGTGGAGTGAAATGGAAGCCACCGGGCCTAGCCACTCACCCCAAGACTGTGGCCAAAGCCGGTGCTGGGGGCAGGGCTGGCGGCGCTGATGTAACTGCTGACCCCTGAGTCCTGGTTGGCTGCCCCATAGAGCTCAGCCATTGGGCCAGGGCTGGTGGTCCCCAGGAAGCCCCCTGTGCGGCTGGGTGTCGAACCTGGAGGGGGAGCCATCGTCCAGGGGTGAGAGCCTGGCAACCCAGAAAGAAGACAGTGATAGCCCTGGTGCCCAAGGCTGCCCACAGCACCGCTCCAACCTCTTCCGCTCCCCTGACTTTGACCTTCATACCCAGCACAACCTGTGGTCTATCTGCCAGAGGTCCCCAAGTCTGTCCTCCTACCATCCAGGCCACCATCACCCACCACCTGCCTCACCGCTCAGCAGTCTCCCCCTTTCTGTTTTTTTCTTTCCCTCCTCTTTCTTTCCTTCCTCTCTCTCTCCCTCCCTTCTCCCCTTTCTAGTTCTGGTGTTTTGTTGTTTTTTTTTCATTCTCCTCTCTTGAGTACCTTCAATCCTTTCCCCACATTGCAGTCCAATGCATGTTCTATCTTTCTTTTTTTCTTTTTGAGACAAGATCTCACTATGCAGTTGAGGCTGGCTCACTGTGTAGCCCAGGCTGGATTCAAACTTGCAGCGATCCCCCTGCCTCATCCTCCCGAGTGCTGGATTACAGGCATGCGATACCACATCCGGCTCCAGTGCATTTTCTGAACCCAACCTGCATCACTCTGGCTTCACAGGCTACGAGCCGCCTCTAGCTATCCTGCACCCTGCCACACAGAACGGTCTCCCGGTCATTGCACATGCTGCTTCTTCAGCTAGAAACACCTTTCCTCTTCCTGCTTTGCCCTTCTTCCTGGAAGCCTTTGCTGCACTTCCTGGAGGCCCTACCTGGGGTGCCTGACTCCCCTCAGAGCAGCAGCCACCTCATCCTTCCATATTGCAGCCTCCTTTTAAATCCTGATGCTTCCACAGCCTGAAAGCTCTGAAATCCTTCAGAGGCACTCCTGGCTGACTCCTGGCTGACTCCTGGCTGACTCGCCAGTGATGGTCCAATGTGTAGCATGGAGCGGGTGCTCAGTGAGTACTTGACTGACTGACTGACTAAACCAAGGGGTAGAGGCAGCCACCTCTTTGTCCCTCTGGACTGGCCCCCACCCCATACCCTGCATTCCCTTTCCAGAAGGCCTCACCTGTCCCTCGAACTACAGCCGCCGCCGCCGCCGCCGCCGCCATTGGTCCATAAGCAGTGAGAGGAATGGCTGAAAGGGAAAGTTTGGGCATTTCAGCATGGCCAGAGGGGGTGGGGGGCAGAGGCGATGGAGGAGGAGGCCCCTGGCTTCTGGAGAGAGGCTCTGTAATTTAACCCCACCTCAGAGGGTTTGGTGCAGCCCCAGGGTCAAGGCAGAGAGAGCTAGCTTGGGCCACCATCCTGTGCCCTGACCTGATAGACAGGAAAAAAGGAGAGGGGACAGTTTCCAGTGAGCAGCTCCAGGACATGACTCCAAGGACACAACTGAATACCTCAGCAGTCATGGAAGGTGGCCCTGTGCTACTGTGGGGGTCGGTGGCCATAGGCGCCCCTTCTCCACAGTGCCCTAACTTGAAAAGGGGGCACTAGCCCAGAGGCTGTGGGAGGTTATGGCCCTCTTCCCAGCTGGGGGCTGACTGGCACCGGCTGCAGAAAACCAGGCCAGTTGTCCCAAGGTGGGGCCAACTCTGCTGCAATGGAGGCTGCAGAGCTCCCTGTGGGGTCAGGAAGAGGGCAAGACTTAGGCTGAGGCCAGGGTAGCTGTGCTCCTTCTGCTGTGTGTCTTGTGTCCCTCACTCTTTTTCTCCCGAGAGTAATCTCAGGGCCACTTTCCCTCTCCTCGACACACAGACTGGCCTTGAACTTGCAGCGGTCCTCCTGCCTCAGCCTCCTGAGTGCTGGGATGACAGATGTGCACCACCATGCCCTGCCATAGACAGGGGTACTGTTCTTCCCTTGTTCGTTATCTATCCCCTTCCCGAGCACCTTGCTCTGTACACAGCAGGGGTTTAATAAGCATCTGCTGAAGGAACAGAGGCCTCAGCTGAGCACCCCTCCTGTCGTACCACTAGAACCCGCACAGGCTCTAACCTCAAGAGTGCAGGACTTGCATGGGGCCAGCCTCCAGCACACTAGGATTCCCCATCACAAGATGTGCCCCTCAGGGCTGACAGGTCCGGGCCTGGACCAGATCTGGGACCAGGGACTGGAGTCCTTCCCAGGGGCTTCCTACAGCTGGCAGTGCCTGACTCCCCTCAGAGTAGCCGCCGCCTCATCCTTCCATACTGCCGCTCGTATCCCCTCCTGTGCGTAGCCCTCCTACACCACCTTCCTTGGGGTCCCCCCTGCCCACAGTCCTACCACCTCAGCACAGCTTCGTGCTTTATCACCTTTATGGAACTTCTCTCCCTCTGGAAATATTCCATTTACTTGCTCGCTCCTATCTCCCTCCTCTAGAATATCAGCTCCTGGAAGGTAGGGGCTTTGACGCAGTCACCATTGTGTCCCTAAGTACCTGATCCAGTACTGGCACAATCAATATGTACTGAACGCACAAAGGAAACACCTGAGTCTTTTCGCCAAGGTGAGAGAAAATTCACACCTTAGAACCCCAGGAATTGCTGATCCCAGAACTTATTTCTTCCCTTGCCAAGATATCTTGGAGAGGAAACCTGTTGGCTCACTTCTGCAGGGGCAGGGGCTGGGTGCTGAAGACTGGGTTGGCCTATTTCCATAAGCAAACTCAAGAGTAGCCAACCCCAGTGGTGCTTATCACACACAGCTAGAAAGAATGGCTTCTGTATGTGAGGAGTACCTGTTTCCCTGCTGCACTGGCTCCGTTCTGTCCCTGCTGCCCCCAGAACATGGCAGTGTGTGCTTCACACAGTAGGTCCTCTATACACACTGGCAAGAGCCATGTATTTGGAAGAGCATCCACCACCAGGATTCTCCTTGCCCCCTGCTGCTCTTCTCTCTCCTCCAATTTGGGGGAACCCTGAGCACCCCTTGGAAGGAAGATTTTGGCTAAATCATCATCCATACTCGCACCCTCCACACATGGCCAAATCTGGGGGAAAGCGTGAGGTGGGGGGAAGCAGGCTGGACAGAGAAGGCCCTCATGTGCACACAGCCCGCAGCTTGGTCTCGCCCCAACTCCACAGCTGAGCTGGTTGGCTCATGCAGACTCCAGCTGGAGAAATGGCCCACCGTGGCCAGCAACCTCATCTCACTTTCCTGTAAGTCACAAACAGGCAGCCTTAGGGCCGGATTTGGCCCCTGCATGCGTCTCATTTGGCCTGCAGTGTTCTGATCACCTGGACTTTGTTGCCATAATTGAAAAATCATCGAAGAATTCACATGAGGAGTGAAGGCTGGCTAGCTTCTCTGGAGAAAGGTGATCTGGGAGTACTCAGTCTGCAGGGTGGGCAGGCACCCAGTAGAGCCACGCCCACCTCTAGGTTCAAAACCCCCTGCCCACCGCTGGCCCACTGTGCGGTGTGAGTTGGAGCTGGAGATCCAAGCCTGTTCCCCACTGGATCCCAGCGCCTCTGTGGTGCCTGGCACACGGGAGGTGCTAGATAAATATTTGCCAAATGGATGAATGAGTGACTTTGCCTCCATCTGTTTGGCTTGGCCCTGAATCCCATGCTCAAGGGCCATGTTGCTACCAAGACCGGCCAATGTCCAGGCACAGTCGGTCTGTGCAGGAGAAGAGGGTCCTGCTAGCTTTCCCCAGGAGGGCCCTTGTCTTTCTCCCCGTGAAGCCTATGAGATGTACAAAATCCGAGCGACTGACCTGTAAGCTCGGGTAGGACTGGGGCGCTCGGGAGAGGGGTCCGCTCTACACGGAACTCTAAAATGAAACGTAAAACAGCTTAGGAAGAAGTAGGGGAGGCCCTCAGGCATGGCCTAGGGAGGACAAATGTACCCACAGGGACACAAGGTGAAAGGACAGGCCATGCACAAGACCCAAGAGCTGAGGAGGGGGAGAGACAGTTTTCAGCAGGCAGAGGAGGAGACACGAGAAGAGAAACAGAGGAAGTGGAGGCAGAGTTGCCACCTATACCATGGGCACGGAGGGATGCTGGAGCCACAGTTCCGGGTGTTTCTTAAAAAGCATAGGATAAAGCCAGACATGGGCCAGCATACTTGTGACCCTGCTACTCAGGCTCAGGAGGATGAGGCAGGAGGATTATAAATTTGAGGCCAGCCTGGGCAACTTAACGAGACCCTACATAAATCAGGGATACTCATCTCTCATGTGCAATTCTTGGGAGGGGGATTAAGCAACATAATATATCCAAAGGATCCCAAGTTAAACAGCCCAAGGGGAAGACAATGTGACCGTTAGGGACCCTTCAAGTTAATGAGAGTAAAAATGGGCCAGGGTGGTGCTCAGTAACAAACACTTGCTTAGCAAGCATGAGGCCCTGGATTCCATCCCAGTGCTATCTAAACACACATACACAAATAAATGCCTTGCAAAAGTTTGGTGTTTCAAAGAAAACATCAAATAGCCATCACGGGACAATCCAGGGATTTGTTGGGTTTCTAGACACTTATGTAAGTTCTGATCTTATTTTTATGCTGAATTAGAAATAAGAGTGGCAACTAGAATGCTTTTTGGTGATTTTCAGGTTTGAGGAGCTCAAAAGCACTCATGGCGGTACCTGGTCGTGACACCTGTGTCTATGAAGGCACAGCCCACACTGGCGTTTGGGAAGGTCCCCTGGCTGCAAGCCCAGTGCCCCTCTGGTGGAAGTGGCAACTCGGGTTGGGTGGAAAGAATGGAAAGGCAGGAGGCAGGTGGAGAACAGCCTGGGAGAGAATGGCACCATGCCGGGCCAAACCAAGAGCCCCTGCCCCAGCTTCTAGGGACAGGGGAAGGGGGGGAGGCCCTCCTTCCTCAGACATGCCCTTCCTTCAGAGCCTGCAGCAGGCAGACCCCAGCCATGCACCCGACACCGCCCTGAGGAGTCAGCTGGGGGGCATGCTGGCCAGAGGGACACCGCACAGGACTCACCGGGGAACTGGTAGGTGTAGCCAGGGGCAAGGCCTGTGTAACTCCGGCTGGCATACGTCGTAGCTTGGAAACCTGGGTAACCTGAGGGAGGGGGACAAACAGGCAACGTCAGATACCTCATCTACAGCTCGGACCCAGGATGTGGTGAAGGATCTGGGCCACTCACTGCCACCTCCGGCACCTGGAATCCAGGGAAATCTTGTCACCCTTCCCAATTCCTTCTGCATCTGTTCCACCCTTCTGTGTGCTAAGCACAGTGCACACATTATATCATCAAACCTCCAAAGCAAATAGCACCTAACAGATAGGTAGCATCGAACTCGGGATCCTGCGCTTGCCAGGCAGGTGCTGTGCCACTGAACTATATCCCCAGCCCGTATGGCTGAGTGTTAATTCAAACCGTTAAGCCTTTTGTGCCCTGGCTCCTATTTCCTTCTTGTCCCTCACCCTCCCATGCCACCTTTGCTGTTTCTCGCCAGACTCATTGCTACCTCAGGGTTCTTGTACGTGCTGCTGCCGCCTCTGCCTGGACACCCTACCTCAGACGCCCTCAGCCGGTCCTTACCGTGCAGCTCCTACAGCAGCCTTCCTTCCTGGTGTTCCGCTCTGGACTGTCAGCCTGGCTTTTCCCTTCCATAGAAGGGATGGTAATGATCTGAATTTAGGATTTTTTTTCTTGGCGGAACCAGGGATTGAATTCAAGCCCTTGTGCTTGCCAGGCAAGCGCTTATTCTACTGAGCCATCTCCCCGGCCCCTAGGATTTCTTTAAGTGGTAATTTTCTGCCTTCCTCAAAGAAAAACCCTATAGTGTAACTGAGATTCAAATTCATGTCTGGCTGGCTCTAAACCTCTTAACTACTCTTCACTATTTATTAGAAATTTTTTGGGGGGCTGGTGAGATGGCTCAGTGGTCTAAAGCACCTACTTAGAACAAGCTTAGCAAAGCACAGGGACCACGGTTCAATTCCCAGCACCACATGCCAGCCAGCCCCGCCCCCTGGTGGGCTGAGCTGGCCACACACACACACACACACACACACACAGATAAATAAAATAAATTTTTTTTAAAAAAAGAAATTTTTGCTGGTATGGTAGCACATGCCTGTGATCCAGCACTTAAGAGACTGAATAAATAAAATAAATTTTATTTATTTTACTTTAATTTTAAATTTACTTTTTTATTTATTTATTTATTTTGTATTTCCCCTAAAATACAAAATAAATAAATAAAATATAAAGTAAATTTATCTATTAAAAAAAGGAAAAAAAATCTTTTTCATTTTTCAATGAACATGAAGCCAGCTCATTAATCACTTATAAACAAATCTTTCTCAATGTGCCAGATTAAAGGACAACTAAACACAACACCTGACTATACCCTTGATTTTGTTCTTGGTATCAAAAACGCTTTTGGTACAGGATACTGATTTTTCTTCTTTTTCTCTTTTTGTTTTTTGTTTTTGTTTTTGGTGAAACTGGGGATTGAACTCAGATCCTTGCATTTGCCAGTCAAGCGCTTATCCTACTGAGCCATCTCCCCGGCTCCTGATTTTTCTTCTGCACAAAAGACTGAATTGTAAGCTGTTGTATGGCTTTGCAAGTTCATCCATTCCCATTAACCTCTCTTCAGATAGCGCTTATGTTTACAGTGTAATATACCACATTAAAATTACCACTATACACACTGACCAGAAAGGTCTTTTTCATTTACTTCACACTCTCCAATTTGTCATTTGGTCAGGTCATGTTGTCTGTTTTTTGTTTTTTTAAATTTTATTTGTGTGTGTGTGTGTGTGTGTGTGTGGCCAGCTCAGCCCACCAGGGGGCGGGGCGGGCTGGCATGTGGTGCTGGGGGATTGAACTGCTGTCCTTGTGTTTTGCTAAGCTTGTTCTAAGTAGGTGCTTTAGACCACTGAGCCATCTCGCCAGCCCCATATTCTCTGTTTATCAGTCCTTTACATTCATTCCCAATTGCTGGGACTTCTCAATGAGGGAAACACTGTAACAGAGAGATGTCCGCTGTCACTGTCATTCTCTCAGATGCCATTCAACAGGCTTCTGCTTCCTATGCTACTTTCTATCAAAATGCCTCTGCCCTTCTCAGGTTTCGTTTTGTTTCTTTCTTTCTTTCTTTTTTTTTTTTTTTTTGCAGAACCGGGGATTGAACTCAGATCCTTGTGTTTGCCAATCAAGTGCTTATCCTGCTGAGCCATCTCCCTGGCCCCTGTTTTGTTTCTTTCTTCTCTCTCTCTCTCTCTCTCTCTCTCTCTCTCTCTTTTGAGACAGGTCTCACTATGCAGCTCAGGTTGGCCTTGAGCTCACTTTGTAGCCCAGGCTGGTCATGAACTTGCAAACAATTCTCCTGCCTCAGCCTCCTGAGTACTGACATTACAGATGTGCACCACTGAAGTGGCTAAATAGCTCCTTTTAACCCAGGAAAAAGCTCAACAAATTGTTTTTTTTTTTTTTTAATTTATTTATTTTATTTACGTGTGTGTCCAGCTCAGCCCACCAGGGGGCGGGGCTGGCTGGCATGTGGTGCTGGGGGATTGAACCGCCGTCCCTGTGCTTTGCTTAGCTTGTTGTAAGTAGGTGCTTCAGACCACTGAGCCATCTCACCAGCCCCAACAAATTGTTAAACATTGCCCCTCGTGCATAATACGTCTTCCCTCACTTACTATGGGGGTTAATCCCTGAGGGTTACATCCCAATTATCTCTGGCAAATGATGTTATATACATCCCTGAGTTTCACACTTTATGTGGGATCCACATTTCAGTGGATACTTCTTCAGAATTTATTTTTGCTTCTATCTTTTTTTTTTGCGGAACCGGGGATTGAACTCAGATCCTTGCATTTGCCAGTCAAGCCCTTATCCTACTGAGCCATCTCCCTGGCCCCTTTGCTTCTATCTGTATGGGGGAAGAGGCTAAACATGTCATTGCTCATGGCCTGGATGATTTGCATACCCTTAGTTGCCCATGGGCAGCTAAGACTGACAATGGCCTGGTTTACATGAGTGTTATCTTCCAGATGTTTTGTATAACTTTTCACATTTCCCTTACTGTGAAAATTCCTTATAACTCTCAAGTCAAGGAATTGTTGAACATATTCACCATATAGCTAAGGTTCTAATAAAAAAAACAAAAAGGGGACTCCTTCCCTACAAAATTCACACCATAATAGACTTCATTTGGCATACTATACTATTAACATTTTAAATCCTATAGTAGCAAGGTAAAGGAAAAGAGACTGGGAAAGGGTCCTTCAGAAAGATCTTTATACTAGACAATGGAAGGGACCCGGACTACTACTCACTTAGGGTTGAGGGCATGCTTGTTTCCCAGAAAATGCTGAACGGCCCATATGGGTACCAGAGTGCACTGTCTGGCTATATCATGAGCCAGACTCAGTTCCTTCTACATCTCAAGGAACTGATGCCCAGTGCTGTGACAGTGATGCCTCAGAGCCGGCTCCACAGCCAATAGACAAAGATGGGGCTAGACTCAACCTGGGGTCAGCTAAAGAAATTGACCTAGGGCTGGTGAGATGCCTCAGTGGTCTAAAGCACCTACTTAGAACAAGCTAAGCAACACCACAGGGACCGCGGTTCAATCCCCAGCACTACATGCCAGCCCGCCCCGCCCCCTGGTGGGCTGAACTGGCCACACACACACACACAAAATAAATAAATAAATAAATATTTTTTTAAAAAAAGAAATTGACCTAGGCTATCTAGGAGATGGTAACCAAAAATTGGGATAGGAAGGTCTGAGTAGAGGACAAGGTATATAGAGACAACTGAGATGGAGGCTATGTGAAAGAAAGGGACATGAAAATTGCTAGTATTCTTAAGACAAAATATAAATACAA